CAAGATCAGTCAAATACCTGTCTATTAACAGTATCAAGATAAGGACAGTCCTTCCGAACCTCAACCTGGCGATTGTTTCTTCCACTAAATTGTTCACGTGAATCATCTTCTTCATCACTATCATCAGCCTCTCCATATTTATGTCCATTATGCTGGGATCCATCATTCCTCCTCTCATTAACAGAACCCCTTTCCCTTCTAACATAATCTTCCTCCTCATCAATGTCAGCATAATTATTGGCCAACCCAGAAAGAGGATTTGCAATGGAGACAGGAGGTGGAGAGGGGGAGGAATCGTCATCCAGCCTCTGCCTCTTTGACTCATTATCAAGCCCTTCATCCTCTACTCTATCAACAGCTTCCCTTTCCCTTTTTGAGGACATGTTCTCTCCTACAGCACTTTCAAATCAACAGCAGAGAAAAAGTTTAAGATAACAGGTAAATTAAGACATTGAACTTCAAATTCAAATCACCTAAAAATATAAACACGAACAGAAAGAAAGAAAAAAGACAGACAGGTGCTACCTTTTTCTCTTATCTAACAAAAGGCCTAAATGGGACAGTGAAAGAAACTAAAAATGCTGTGTCTACAAACACATGAACAGTATTCTAAAACTTTATTTTGTGGATGTTTTAGGTGAGGAAGATCTGGCTGCGAGTAGCATTTAGAATGCCAACAATTAAATTAGGAGTATGCTCTGATATTGTGACATCGGGCAGAGGACTTTTAGGACAAAATTTTTATATAAATTTGGAATTGTAAATATCATTTTGAAAATAATTTGTAAACTTTTGTGTTTCATTTTCTAAATCTTTAATATTGTGGTTATTGAAGAACGATTTTTGAAGTTTCTCATGTGAACCCTTTTTACCGAAATTTAAACATTTATTTGTAAAGTTATAGTATATGTATTGGGGTAGTAAGGGTGTCACAAAATACAAATAAAGAAAGAAAAAAAGAAGAAAAGTATAGAGAGAGTTGAAGAGTAGTTAGAAAAAGAAAACCAACAAACATTATTCTTAGAGAAGAGTAAGGAGGATAATATTTCTCCCAAAGGGCTTATTGTAACCCCCTCTTCAGATTACATATGCTAATTATAACTAATTATTTATATTATTATGAATAATATGTAGAAAAGATACTTAAAGAAATGAATTAAATTTATTCAATTAAAGTTTTATTCAATAAAAGACTAGATATTACAAACCATTTTATAACAACTTAGTAAAAGAAAACCCCCTATCCTATGCTCTAGATTTTTGCATCTGACCTTCTAACAGCACATCCAATTTTTCTGCATTATGAGATCTCCAATATCTGGGTTTAAAAATATTTATGGGGTTAGACATTTAATTTCATTCACATCTCACACAAACAAATTAGACAAGTGCATAATAAGTCCATACAATTATCAATACATATAACAAATTGATAAGATTTTTCATTAATAATAGTCCAAACAATGCAATATGATTATGAGAATGAGATGCAGATTTTGACTGAAAATATACTTTTAAAAATCATTTTGACTCAATACTCCATGGAGATTTTCCCGTTTGAGTGTTTAGTGAAGCTAGAGCTTAACATTACTATGTCCAGTGATTTGGCAATGCCCCACTAAACGCGAACAAGTAGATAGTAGTCAAAGTTTCAGTGCACCCGGCAGGCTACCATGACACAGAATCTATAAAGACTGGCCATCTATGGAATTGCCCATGCCCAAACACTCCCTAGACCAAAGGTCTATCCCCTAGACTAGAGGTCCCGTCTTACCCATTCTACTCAAACCCCATTTACTATCTTCTGACATTGGTAGCATAAAACAAATACCTCAGTCAAACTTTTACAACCATATCAACCTCTCTCTCACTTTATCATTTTCTTTATCTATTTTGTACTGTCAACTGTCCTTGACAGTACCCACTATCACAATCAATCTTTTGCCACCAATGTCTCGGATAGTAAACATAAAGAAAAAAATTCACGTAAAAAACATCATTTCAAAATTACAAAACTCATTCTTTTTCTATCAAATATCTTTGATAAAAAATCATTTCTCAAATATTTCTTTTTTTTGAAATTCTTTTCTTTTCCCCCAAAAAATATTTTTTACTCAAAGACCATAGTATGCAATATGCAACATGTTTCACTATTAATCTATCACTTCAAAAATTAATCTCAATCAAAAATTTCAAATACAATTAAAATAATTTCAATAGAAACATTCAATCATAAACAATCAACCACTTCAAGATTCAACTTTAAAACATCAAATTTATCACAAAGTACAATAAAAAATCATATCAACTAACCTAAGGTTCCATGCATCAAAACTTATAAGTAAAGATCAATACTTATTCTACAACTATATAGACATGAATAAAATTAAACATCTAACCCATACCTATTTCTCCAAACTTGCTAGTTTTTTCCTAATTTCCTTGATTTCTTCTTCTCCTACTTCATTTTCTTCCTCTTATCTTCTTCCTTTCTTCCCCTTTTCTTGAAATTTTAGTTGTTTACTCCTTTTTTTTACTCTTTGGTTGTAGAAAAGATGGAGTATTTTTGGGTGTTTCTTTGGCATTGGTTTATGTCTAGTTGTTAAGGGTTGTTGGTGAGCTTTTTGGTGTGGTTTCTCCTATTTATACTAGTCTCCACCTCCATTCTCCAATCTTCTAGATTTGTAGATATTTCTTGATATTTCCTAAGATATTTTACTGACATAGTGATTAGGTGTCCATTTTGTAGATATTTATACGACTTTCTAGAATTTCCTTGAATTATTTAAGTATCTTAATGAATAAGTTTCCAATTTATTTAATAATTTGTGATGAGATGTCCACTTTCTAGAATTTTGTAGAGTTATTTAGTTATCTTAATGATTAAGTTTTCAATTCATTTTAGTCACATGGTGATTATGTGTCCCTTTTTTTTGTAGAAATTTATAGAACATCCTAGAATTTTGTAAAATTATTTAAATATCTTAATGGTTAAGTATCTAATCAATTCTAGATTTCTGTTATGTAGAATTTTATAGAACTTTCTTGAATTATTTGAATATCTTAATAGTTAAGCTTCCACCCCATTTAATTATTTGGTAATTAGATATCTACTTTGAAGAGTTTTGTAGAACTTTCTAGAACATTGTAGAGTTATTAAAGTATCTTAAAAATTAATTATAATTTTGAGAAACTAATATCATCATTAGAATCTTGACCATTAAAAATATAAACTTTTGTCTCTTGATCATCTGCTAATTATGTTAATTAATATTAATTAAATAAATTAGGATTTGCTTATGTGTCATAATTTAATTGGTTGAGACTTGTATTTTAATTTCACCTAACTATACATTTTTATTAATAATTCTAAGCATACTATATCGATGATAAAATTATTATATCCTTTTGAACATTTTTCCATAATTTTCTAGCTTAAGATTTTAGCAGAATAATTTTTTCTTGTTAAATCCTTAGAGAATTTCTATAAATTTTAATTTAGAGATTTTCTCTCTTAACTGTATTTATTCTTAATTACACTCAATAAATTATTATTTAAGTTATATATTATTTAAATTTTCTTAAATTGAGTTTCTCATATTTTAGAGCATGCTCTCAACGCTGGCCGAGAATCAGTCAAATTAGATAATAAAATACATGTTATTGAATTAGAAAATCTTGTTAAATAATTCTACATAAATTTCATTCACAGTAACTTACGTAATATTTAATATATATAATAATTTGCAGAAACTTATAGATAAATAGTTACAAAATTTAGGATGTTACACTTATGCTTAAAGAAAGTCACTTTAACATTGAAAATGATTTAAAAAAGACTCTCTTTATTCATCAAGACCTTACTCTTTCTCTCATGTTACCACTAGTCATGAAGTGGAGATTCAAAAACAAATCCCTTTTCAAGAAAAAGAATCTCAACTTCAAGAATTAGTGAAGAAGAATTGGTTCACTAAGTCCCACTTATTGTGCTACTTCCTTGGTGGTGCCCAAGGTAGATAAGCCTTCTTTCTTTAAGACTCTCTCTACTTTAGTTGTCTTCATAAAGCACCCAACTTTTGGTTTGTATGGTTTGTTGGATACATATCATGGTGTCATATTTTCTGTCATATGTATCTAACAAATAATGCAACACAAAGTTGTTTAGGTAATTTTTTAGTTAAGTTTTCTTTATTTTCCAAGACATACCTAGGTCACTACATTGGGTACCTCCAACAAGATATTTTAGTTCTTAGGACTAATACTTTAGTGTGCTATAGTTTTAGTCTTTTTACCTTTTTAGGCTTTAGTTATACACCTAGACTTCATCATGGGGAGTATCCTATCCTTAGCATCAGAGAGTCTAGTCCTTTTAGTTTAGAAAATCTTTTTAGCATTTTTAGTGGAACTCCTCTTAGGATGCACTTTCCATTTATATCATATACTCTTGCCTCTAATACTTATTTTCATGTTTTTGTTGGTCATGACGTCCACCATGAAGAACCTCTTGATTTGAGGTCAAATCCTTTTCAAGGGGGAAGGAATGATGAAATCACACTAAGGCCAAGAAGACCAAGAGGTGATATATTGAAGGAGGCAAGAGGAATGGGTTAGTTTTGAAAACTATAAGAGGAGTGGGCCTATTTTTGGGCCTTAGCTCCTACGTTTTTTTTAAGTATAGGATTTATTCCTATTTTACCCTTTTATTTTGGGGCACCTTAGACATATGATTTATTTTTCTTGTATTTCCTATTTTACCCTTATATTTTGGGGTGTCTTAGTTATAGGATTTTTTTTACTTGTATTTTCCATTTTACCCTTGTATTGTGGGGTGCCTTAGATTAACAGATTTTATTTTATAGCTAGGTATTTTATTAGGGTAAGAAAATAAGGCCTAGACGTGTTTTTTTGGTAGCATTGGATTTATTTTTGGACTTGGCAAGGTTTAGGCCCACCTAGGTTGCATGGTGTTATCATGCACCTATATGTAGCTTAACTAAACTCAAAGATTCCATCCTTGGCCACCAAGTAGCATCTAGGGTTAATTTAAGTTTCATTTGAAATGCATTTAGCTTGCATTTTTCAGCCAAGAACTCTCAAATGTAACCCTAAATGTATCCTCCCTTCTATAAATACCCTAGGCTAGCAACCTTGTAAATACTTTGAAATTTATGATATTGAGTGAGCCTTTGAGCCTTAATACCCTTCCTTAGTCACCTTGGTTAATTCGGCCACCTCTCCTCCTCATCTTCATCGTGAGTGTTCTCACCTTTAGGAGTGGCCTTCATCCATCAATGAAATAAGCCAAAAACCCTAGAGTACCATTCTAACATTTCATCAAACACCTAGCCTCCATATACACCATTCGCCCATCTCCATCACCAAGGCTAAAAACCTTGAGTTCCATGATCCAAGGAGTCCGGTCTTCCCTCTTTGATGCTCCTAACTCAATCTATGCAAGGAGGGTTGCCATCAAGTATACTTTAGCCTATCACCCTCAATCGGATGGCAAACAGAGGTGGTTAATAGATTTTTGGAGGAATACTTAAGATGTTTTGGGGGGTGGGGGGATAAACTCAAGCAATGGCCTAGTTGGTTACCTTGGGTAGAATTTTTCTTT